CAGCTTTTATTGGACTATGAGGGAAATAAATATTCTTGTTTAGTCAAGATGAAAAAGCCATTTGACTTCTGGCATGTGATGCATTTCAGAACAAAACATGATAAAAAAATATTAAAGTAAATATAAAATGAATAAATGAATACATAAAATATCGATTGGATTGTGAAAAGTGGTTTCTGTGTGACAGGTGATTGGAAATGAAGATTTAAAAAAATAAGAACTTAGTCATTGTAGAGGCGGAACGTAAATTTTGTTTACATTTTGTTTACATTACATTTTTTGTTTTGTTTTGATGAGTCATGTACAATTAGGGATGGTTTATTTTTTTGTATTCAAAATCAGCATGACTTTTATTCTATATTGTAGTGCATATCCAAATGAAACTGCTTCTCAAATGAGAAAAAATGTAGGACAGGACTTTTAGGAAACTAAAATTTCAATCATTTTCTCTGTTTTGGCGTATATCGACGGGAGACTGCTTCTTGAATGAGAAAAAATGTGGACATTATGGATTAAAGTAAATATAAATTAAATCAATTGTAATAAAATAAAATACATTTCAAATAAATTATATAAAAATAAATTTAAATAAAATATTGATTGGAAAATTCCTCAAAAAAAAAAAAAAAACTTTCGCTGATAAATCATGCACAAGGGACCGTTGCAGTCTATCAGTCTTTGCATGGCAATGGTAACAAAATCTATGAGAGTAAAAAAAACATGCACAGACAAATCCAAATTAAACCCTGCGGCTCGTGACGACACATTGATGTCCTAAGACACGAAACGATCGGTTTGTGCGAGAAACCGAACAGTATTTATATCATATTTTATCCCTAATACACCACTATGGCCAACTGTCTTTGGGTGCGTGCACGGCATCCGGTGCGTGAGGTGTGTACGCGCTCTGGCGTAGTTTACTTTAATGGGTGTGTTGATATCCAGCCGAAGAGCAATCAACCATAACTTCAGGCGAGCAGGCTCAGAAGTTGGGAATACGTGGAAAGTCACCACTCCCGAATGAGTTCGCGCGAGAGAACGTAATCTTTTAGTTTTAAGTCGGTTTGTACAATCCGGATAAGCGCAAGTAAGTACCATTTTGATTAGCCGTCGTACCTACAATGTTTGTGCACTGTGTAAACAATGAGTGATGTATACGCGCGAGAGATCACTTCCGGCGCTTGCGTAAACTACGCCAGAGTGCGTACACACCTCACGCACCGGATGCCGTGCGCGCGCTCAAGGCAGTTGGACATAGTGGTGTATTAGAGGTAAAATATGATATAAATACTGTTCGGTTTCTGGCACAAACTGATCGTTTCGTGTCTTAGGACATCAATGTGTCGTCACGAGCCGCAGGGTTTAATTTGGATTTGTCTGTGCATGTTTTTTTTACTCTCATAGATTTTGTTACCATTGCCATGCATTATACGACTGATAGACTGCAACGGTTAAAGTTAAAAATCATCATATGTGTTCTACTGAAGAAACAAAGTCACCTACATCTTGGATGGCCTGTGGGTAAGCAGATAAACATCAAATTTTCATTTTGGGGTGAACTATCCCTTTAAGAGCAGTTACTTTGGTGCTGTGTGTTCCTATTTTGTGCTCTTTTGTTTGTGTACGGTGTTCAAGTTCTCCTGGGCAGTTGGTATTTACGAGTTGGAAAGTCACTATGTTCACAACAAGATGGTGATGCATCTTTTTTCAACAAGATTTTCAAACTCTGCTTCTACAAAATGACGGAAAAAAAAACGTGCACCCATGCATTTTTGTTTTTAATCAATTTATTTAGATGCAGCATAAATACAAAAATTATAATTTCATTAATTTCAACAAATTTCCTGTCGACGCTGCACCCATTGCATACAAACTTTTCTCACTGACACACTCCTTACTAAGAAACTTTTGGCTTAAAGAAAGTTCTGAGTTTCCCCACTCATAGTTATGCCTTTGTGGTGGCGTTCATGCGAGTTCAACTCATAAATACGATCTTTCTGACATGACTTGCAACAATATTTGTTGCAGGTATTTATGAATCTTGATTCTCAGTAATGTGTCTCAGTAATCATGTTATCAAAGCGAATCCAGAAAAAAACAGCATGGGAACACATGCACAACTAAAAGTGAGCTAGTCTTGCACATTTAGCTTCTGTGTTCCCATACAGTCAAATTTACAGCCGCCTACTGTTACACTCATTTAAAAAAGAAAACAGGACTAAATCAAATTTTGACATGTGCGGAACTGCTTTACTGCACCAGGCCTGAGGAGGAGAAATGCAGGGGTGATATTTCATTATCCTGTTACCCTTGGCACCCCAACGTTGTGCTCCTCTCGCAATGAACGTCACATCTGCAACTGATATGGATGTTGCTTTTACAGAAGAATGCATGCTTTTAAAAATGCCTCGACTGTGAAACCAAAGAAACCCACATTCATTTGACATATAAATGAAACGGCTTAAAATGTGAGGCGAGTAAAAGAAGAATTGTATGGTGACAGAGTGATGAATGGGATTTTTTTCTGAACAAAGTAATTGAATTCAATATTTTAGGTGTTTTATATTATGTTTCTGACAGGGTTGTGCATCCTTCAGAATTGAATTGATAAAGCCTTTTACATTACAATTAAATCCCTTATTTTGAAATGAGGTGAGAAACAAGCTACATAATTATATCTGTAGTTTGAAATACTTTATGAAATTAAATAATTTAGCAAAAGTGTATGTTCATCGAAGGTTTGTGCACCATTCATAATTAGATTAAAACTGAATTTTGAATTCAATTCCTCAATTTGCTATTTGAATTTGAATGTACAGAAATAAAAAAAATAATAATTTAGAATGTAGAAATTAAACTGAAGAAAGTCTGTATAACTGCTGCAAGTTTTTCTTAATGTTTAATACTTATTTATATTTAAGTATGAATTTTAAGTATGAATTACTAAATTTTAAGTATGGATTATTAAATTACTAAATTTAATTGAATAAATTAAGCTTTTGGACCATGACGGATGAAACTGTCAGTTCCATAAATGCTCTAGGTTATACAATTAATGATATTATAATTAATATAATGTATAATTCTTAAAAATGGACCCAAACCAAATGATATAGGTTTTAAAGTTAGAATATAGAGAATATTCCTGAATATAGAGAAATCTAACTTAAGGGGGGGAAATAACCTTAACAGGGAACATAATTATTTGTTTGCAAAATTAGTTGAAATCAGTTATGTTGCAGACCTTTCTTTGACTTGTAGTGCATACAGTAAATTCCTCTTTCTATGAGGTTGAAATGAAAGGGAACCGGTTCTTAAATTTTGATTTAATGCACAACCCTAGTTTGTATTTGGATTCTGCTTAAATGTGCAGCTGAAACCATGTAGTGTGCCCCCTTGTGGCAAAATAAAGCTCATATTGCCATAGTTAATTAATTATGCAGAATACATTTCATTATTATAGATTTAGACATTAATAAACAAAGTTCTAAATGGATAATTTTTCCTCATTCTATCCTGGTAGCAGCAAGCTCATTTTTTAACCACAAACAGGTTTGATTTTCTCAAAGGCACTTTCAACAGCCTAGACCCCTGGTGACCTGTTTATTTAAGTGTGTGCTGATTAAAAATTCTCATGCTGAGCTCCTTCTTTTAGCACACTGTGTATGAAACATAACAACTCTGCAATGCTCTAATGCACTTCTCTCTCTCTCTCTCTCTTGATCTCCTACATCAATTAATGGTGTAGTTAGAAAAGCACGTTTACTGCCATGCCACCTTCATGAGCACACGTTCTGCTGTAGCTAACACTTGCAGGTAACAGTTTCCATCCATCTGCTTATGTTCAAGACACACACTTTGATAACAGGGCACCCTGACTATGAGCAATGAATGTCCATGACTCTTCCATGACATTTACATTTGTTTGTGTGAATACTGATAATAATTTTTAGATGGATTTCCATATGTATGCACATGTTTCTCAATAAAAAGACACATTGCAAGATCCCAATGTGACTTTCAGAGCCTCCATGCTCCCTTCATTTGAGAGGGCAAGCTTCAAAACTCATTATTGAGATACGGGACAAAACCATTTCCTAATATGCTATTAATTTTAAATAGCAGCATTTTCTCTTTATAACTAGAACAGGCTTGAAACAAAAGTACAATTTTGTGTCTTTTTTTTTTTTTTTTTTGTATGTGGCATGATCTACATAACCAAAAGCACAACTAAATAGAAATACATGTGTGTGATGTGCAAATTCTGTCAACTGAAAATGAAACACTTATTCTCAATTCATTCATTGCATTTTTTTTAAATAGTTTTCATAAACATTTGACTTAACAGTGCATTTTTTATTTATTTATTTAGCTAACTAGCTTTTTAGCATCTGACCGAATTGACCCATAACCTACTGAGTGATGGTCAAGGAAAAACTGATTCTCATTTGAGAAAATGTAAAAAGCATGATGTTTCACTACAATGTAAATGAATACCTCTGAACTTAAGTAGTATCTAGCCAATTAAATAATTATCAGAGTAAAACTACTAAGTATAACTAAGTGTATGTTCATTAAAATAATCTGTGGGCCATTCAGAAAATGGCCAATGTGCTGCCAAATCAAAGTTCTGTTAAACATACAATTTACAGTATGTGTTACTGTATCTGTAACAATGCTCATTAATTGGGGGGCAATAGACAGACGGATTCCCTGAGCTTTTTTTAAATGTTTTCCATGACCGTGAGAAACTGTACAATTTCAGAGAGCATTTTTAAGGGGTTCCAGGTGGACAGATAAGTGCAATTTCAAAGGGCTGAGTCAGCAAGCATCTGTTTTTAATGGCATCTTATTTAGCAGAAGTAGCATGATCAGTGAGGACAGTTTTAATCTGTAGGACTTAATGAGAGGGAGCTCTTTCATGCTCATGCATCACGGCCTGTGGTAATGTTGCCTCTTCCTCTGGACTGTGGCTGATGTTTTTGTTTTCTCCTTTATAGGTGTCAGTGAGGCCTTTACCCCAAAGCTGGTGTTGGTTAGTGCAGACACACCCTGTGGATAGCGGAGCCCATTTGTAGTCAAATAATCACCACAACTGGGGACCAAAAATGGAGAACAAAACATCAGGAATGAGTGAGGGCCTCCATGTGAACTGCGGTATGTCTGGAAGACACAGCTTCATCTTCACCTTCATCCCTGTTGTCTACGGATGCAATTTCGTCATCGGGATCATTGGCAATAGCATGGTGGTAGCTGTCATTTACCGCTACATGAAGCTGAAGACAGTAGCAAACGTGTTTGTGCTCAATCTAGCTATATCAGACCTCACCTTCCTTATCACGCTACCTTTGTGGGCCACTTTCACAGCTATGGGTTACCATTGGCCGTTTGGCACCTTCCTGTGCAAGGCAAGTGCCGGATTGGTCATCTTCAACCTCTACACTAGCATATTCTTCCTCACCGCTCTTAGCATTGACCGATATCTTGCGATCGTACATCCGGTGCGCTCCAGACGCCAGCGCACACTTTTCTACGCTAACCTCACATGTGTACTCATATGGCTGTTTGCCTTGCTCCTCAGTGCACCTACTGCACTAAGCCGGGATGTGTATGACATTGGGAACTCTACATTGTGCGCTGTGTGGCACCGCAGTGAGCAGATTAACTTGCTTGTTACCCTTAGCGTGCTAAAAAGTGTGCTAGGTTTCCTTGTGCCTTTCCTTGTCATCATTACCTGCTATTGCCTGATCGGTCGGGCACTTCTGGGTTCCAGGGGTCTGTTGAGGAAAAGCGTTCGCTCTCGGGAAGATGAAACTCTACGTATGATAGCCGCTACTGTGCTAGCTTTCTTTGTTTGTTGGGCTCCTCACCAAGCTTTCCACTTCATCGAGCTGCTGGCCACGCTTGGCGTGGTGGAAAACTGCCAAACACTGGATGTTATTGACACAGCCATGCCGTTTACCATCTGCATCTCCTATTTAAACAGTTCTATAAACCCCATTCTTTATGGCTTTGTTGGACACAACTTTCACAAGAACCTACTGAGATTACTTGGATGTGGGTCTGGACAATCTATCAATAACTTTAGCATTAGTTCAAAGATGAATGTCAATTCCCATTGTACCTCTGGTCTGCTCAAACCAACAAGTTCCTAGAACGATTCAACATCCACTGTTAAGACGTCTTAAGTGCAAAAGGCATAGCTGAAATTCTGTATTTATCTTTTTTGGGATTTTAAATGGTACTACAAGATATTTTTGATCAGCCGACAACATACATGGCCAATGCACTGCTAAAGCACAGTTCTGCTAATTATAGTAGTTACATGAGTTACTGTATGTTATGTTACTGTATGTTACAAGGGGGGCGATATAACTGTTTTCAAATGTCAGTGCCATTAACCAAGATGTGTTATTCTGCTATAAATATATTCACTTTAACCAACCTACTTGGTAAGATTCTACTTCATGACGGCAGAGAAAACTGAACATAAAAAAAAATAATAATATTGTTTATGCCAATATAAGTTAGCACCTATAACTAACGGTCTGCTTCTTTGGTAAGTTTTCTTTTTCAGGTCATTATTTGTGGTCTGACACATTTAAAGGGAACGCCGGGTATTAAGACTCGTATGGCTTAATATAACGTAAATGATGTTTCTTATTTAAATAAGTATTATAAAACCAATGAAAGATTTATGTAAGAGACATAATTTACGTCATATTAACCAATGCAAGTCTTAATACCCCGGGTTCCCTTTAAGAATGCAGATTAATATTGTGAACTTGATGAGGATATCATGAACTGGGGTAGAACATGGCAGAACGTTTTTACTTCATCAAGAAATCCAAATCACCAACTGATTCATTTTAACTTTTGTCACAGAACTTATTGGACCCCACTGAAAAGACATCGTATTGACTCTTCATTCAGCCCCTTCTGCAATAACTGTTCTGATCAACAACTTGGAACCTTTTTCCACATGATGTGGGAATGTGAAGAGGTCAAAATATTTTGGAATGCAGTATGTACTACCTTATCAAAAATTATTGAGTACCCTATACCGGTGAACCCTGCTGTATTACTATTGAATGACAATTCTGCGTTGAGTTTTTCTAAGTTGCAAAAAATGATTTGGCTTGCCGGGTTGACATCTGCCAAAAAATTGTTAGCACAACACTGGCTCCCTCCACATACTTTGGATATGT